TGAGCGTAAAGTTAATAGTCCTAGAGCATTGTGTTTTTAATGCGTCTAATATTAACGATAGTGTTTAAAAATATTTGGGAAGTATAATCAGGTTGGTGTTGAGCTGAAGGCATGTTCTGCTATGCCACGCGGGTGTTTGTAGGCAAAACACTTTGCTGTTCACATCGGGCATCAGCATGAAATGTTCATTGTCAAATTACACAAAACGGCAAGCAGTACTCACATGTTTCTGATAAATCAGGCTCAGACTTTTAAAAATAATCTTAATAAGCAGATATTTATGCTGGGAATGGATAGGGAAGAAGTAAGCATTAGCAGTGTTCTGGCTTAAAAGTATTTCTGCAGTACTTTTATGTATTCTTTCACTTTTTTGATCAAGCTTTCTATTCTTTTGCCCTGACGATGATAGGGTTTGTCCTTTGCCTTTTCACTTCTGCCCTTGCTACTTTTGCTTTCTCTTCTCTGTTTCAGTTTTCACTCTCCTCCTTGTTTTTTCAGTCGCGGTGAGCAGACTTCTGCAAGATAGGAAACTTGTGTTCTGGTCTCTGTGAACAGCCAGGATTAGGGCTCCTTTTACCCTCTTCCTCTAGAGTTTGCTGTTCTGGAGAAGATCTTGACCTCACTTTTTTTTTTTTGTTGTGATATTTCATGTCATTTCTAGAAGGGATGTTGGATGCTAACATAGATGGACTGTGCAATGGTCCCAGTCTGAAAACGGACAAGATTTGTAGGAAAATTGATAAACTGGGGGGTGGGGTGGGGGTGGGAGGTGTTAAAAAAATTCCAATAAAAAATATGCAGCAGAGCTGTGGTAGTCACTGAATCTAGTGGCTCAATAAATGCAAACTGCCGACCTGTTCTCTAACTGCGGGTGTTTTAGCCTGTTTTATTTGTTCTGTCGTCTGTGATGTTAAGTAATAGAATTGAGAGTACACAGACACAGTTACTTTTAATGACCACAAGCATTAATTTCTATAGTGTAACTGTCCTGAAAGAGAATGCTGGAAATACTAAGAAATTACTAGATGAGAGGTGCTTTTCCATCCCTCTGGAGAAGAGGTGGTGGCAGCTCCGTTTTAAGAAAAATTTTTGAGAGCAGACATGCTGAGCTCCGTGTTACTTGATGTACGATATGCCAGATTGTCTATTATTGTTTTTATTAGAGAAGATGCTGTATTGGCCTTTTCCAAATAAGAAGCATTTTCCTTATTACGTGCTTGACAAATAATGCATTTAAGATATCCCGGAATTGCCAGTGGCACAGGCTTGTACTCTTCACCAAGACTATAACAGCAATATATTGTTTAAAGTTACCTTTTTAAAAGCACTGTAACTAAGTTACATTTGAAAGGAGAAATGAATTCTGGAGGTCACAACGTTCAGAGGTTTCATATTATGGATGTAGATGAAGTTGTTTTTCTTTATGGCATTAATCGAATTAATGTAACTAGTAGCTAGTATTTGTGTGTTGATACCGTGTAAATGCTGCAATTATGGAAAAATAAGTGGAAAGTGTGAGATCTTGGTTTAAATTCTTAATTTGACCTTGAAAAACATTCCCAGATGGAGAGAGTTAAATGAGCCCAGCTTTGAAAGAGGAACATATGAATCACGGTTGCTAGGCTCTTCCTTGAGAGGCATGGGCTTTACATTTACAGTGAAGTATTTCAAAAAGTAATCTCTAAACTCGGAGGAACAGTGCATTTGAAATGACACTGGTGAAATACTATAAACTTGATTAGACTTTTAAATAGAGAATTTGCATGTCATTAAGTTAAATAGGTATAAAGTATTAGACGTTAGAATATCAACTGCAAGACTTGTGAACTTTCTTAAGTGGTTGAGGGGGGAACAGAAAAATTAGACATCCATCTCCTGCTCTTGGTACGTTCTTCTTAGGGAAGTTTTCTTAAACTACTCTGCATATTATTCTCTGCCATTTGCATGGCCAAATTTGTCATTGTCGTAAGTGTCACATAGGTGTTTGCCCCATTGGAACACAGAAACAGAAACAAGATTTCCCTGAAACTGCTCTTGCTCTGCTTGACTAAAGTGACGGTGAAGCATGTTAAACACGTGGGAGCTTACCTGCCTAAGATGGAGGCTCCTGGGTTGGGAAGTGTGGATTCAGGTCTCTTCCAGTTGTCTTAGTTGGATCACACTCCTTGCAGTTTCAAACCCATTGTTAAAACTAATGTTCAGGTCTTCGTGAAGTGTTGGTACTACTTTTTGCCCACTGGTATATAGTCCATGGCCCTTATGGGCTGGTCTTGTGTTCGTGCAGAGCTCAACGTAGTCAGGTTCCAGTGTTATTTGGGGCTCTATGGGTTTCTCTAACAAAAGGATTTGATTGCATATATTTTAAATACATGCTTTGATAATAAAAAGCTGTAGTTTATTTTAGCTCATATGAGAAAAGAAAAGGAATTGCATTTAGGACTCTGACCTTCACTACTCCATCGCTGGTTACGTTTACATACTGCTCTATTATCAGTACTGTAGGAGAGTACTGCGGGGGTAGAAGATCTTTTACATTGATTTGTGTGATCTGGCTGGAGACTTATGCCTGACTTCCTTTGAAATCATGGTTGTGATTTTGGGTGTGCAGCAAATCCTTTTTTCTGTGTCAAGTGATGTTACTCTTAGAATGATTCTTTAAGAGTTTGTGTATTTCCTAGTGTTTTGGCATTGCTTTTTGTCACTTGGAGCTTTGAATTTAGAACCCTGACGATGTACTTCACAGTGTAAAGGACACTCGTAAATTACTCAGATTTTCTGGGATCCACAGATTGAAATAGGAGAACATTTTTGTTTACAATTTCTGCCAATTTGTTTCACTTGTCATTTAATGTTGCAATTCTCTATTGTCAGCAAATACTCATAAAAGGGAACTTAGAGCGAGTGTGATGTCTCGGACTAGTGTCAAGGAGTGCTTTATCTTGCAAGAGACACAGAAGTAGGCAATCCTTCTTTTCGTGTTAACGATTTCACCCCTGCATTCTATACAGGCTAGTGTAAAGTCTGCAGATCCAGTGCTGGAAAGGTACAGTTATAAGAACAGGTTACAGGGTGTGGATTTACAGTTCGTTAGACATTATACAGTAGTAGCCTGTCTGTGTGCTATTAACAATCTAAATAGCAGGCAGTGCATGCTGTCATTGTCCCATTCATCATGGTATGTTAGTAGTCAAATGGAAGTGACCCTGGAGTATTTGCTTGTCGTGTGGAAACCTTTTTATGCAGGCTTACCCAAAGAGCTCCTGCACGAAATATTAGCAATGACTTTTAAGTTTATACTTTCCTTACCTAGCTTAATACTACATCACAGAAAGTAGGTATTGAAAAACAGAAGTTTATTATTCCTGTCTGATTCCCCGCCCCAGCATATGTTTACTAGTTTTGCCTAGTTCGCAGTAAGTTAGGTGTGCCTGAGGTCTTAATACTTTTTAAAATAAATACCATGTAAATAAGCGAGAGTCGCTACTTAATGAAGTGCAAATCAGATTATTATTTATTTAATGTGACCTCAGTTGTGAAAAGGTGCCTGTTGACTTAGGTAAGTGTAGCTCTGATCTGTCACAGCCATGTCATATGTCCGTGGTCATTGTATTTGCGTCCCACTGCAAAATCCAGTTGCAGTTGTTTATTGCAAGTATTGTGCTTAATTTTAATATATCACTAATAAAGTTTTTGAAAACCTGGGATAGACCTTATTTTTTAAAGAAAAGTAATTACTTTTTAATAACGAAGATAGTTAGTACAAAGGGAGCTCTTAATTCTGGAAGCTGTTCGGTGTGGATACGTTCTTTTGTCTGTGAGGAACAAAGTGGAGTCCATGGGGCTCTACAGGGCTGACAGTGTCATTCTGCCAGCAGTTACCTTGTGTTACGGCACACTGACTCTTAAAATGCAGCCCTCTCGATTTATTTTGTAATTGGTGTTCCATTAATGAACAAAAATATGGATGTTGTTAAAAATATACACAGGTGAATCTGTAGCTTTAAAACAGAACTCTGGGGTCAGTTTTAGCACAGAGGTAAATAAGTTTAACTCAATTTCTAAGTTACTGTTAAGATAAATGTTACTTGAGTATTTTTTTTTAAGAAAAGTTTTCTTATATCAGTTTTAAACCTTTAAGTAGTGTTATAGATCCCTTAGCCATGTGTTTGGCAATAATGAGTTTATACTATTATGTTTGTAGTTTCCTATTTTTTTTGCCTTCTAATGATTAAATAACATTTTTGTTATATAAATGTAATATACCTTTAAGTTGTGTAGTAAATGCTGTATTTAATGTTCCAGTCGTCTCTGAATGCAGTTTTAACTGTTAAACTGTATTCTTAAAAACAAAATTGTAGAAACTAATTTTGTTAGTAAAAGTCTGCAAGTATGTGTGTTATCTCTGAAATCCACACATGCTCTGACATACTGTTATCTCTGTTTCTCTCTCTTATATAGCTGTTACTCAGATCTCTGGCAGCAGATGGCTGGACTATAATGCACTGTTAAACAAATAAAACCATTAGGCATGTAATACTGCCTGGTAAACGACTGTGTGTTAAAAACGGTTTAAAAAAAAACTAAATAGAAAATAAAGTTCATTTTTGAATTCATTTAATGAAATTGGAATAAAATCCAAGCCCCTTTCCGAATACATAAAACATCCCCTCTTATGTTGTGTTTGTCATTTGAAGTCAGTCTTTTTTTATTACATTCTTGCATCTGGTATAAGATAATCAGTCCTAAATCAGTTTTCTAATAGATGTTTTCTACAAGTAATCACTCATTTTACATTTATCTTTGTAGGAAGATTTTTTGCTTTTGTAATACTCCAGCACAAAATTATCCATTGCATTATATGCTCTTTTTCCTCATTTTCAAATTTGATACAAATGTATTAAAATTATGGTTCAACATGAGTGTCATGGCTCTGTAATTAAACTGTTTTTCAATAATTGTCAGCAGCTGAGAGATGCCGTTTTGTCTTTTTGTTTTTAGATATGCCAATATTTGGTCTTTGCCCGGCTCATGATGATTTCTATTTGGTGATGTGTAACCACTGTAATCAGGTCGTAAAACCACAGGCATTTCAATCACATTATGGTAAGTGCTTAACTATTTTTAATAATTAAGGGTGAGGTTAAATCAGGATTAAGCCTGGCAATATTTTTTTTTTTAAATTGATGGTACATAGATCATTATAAATAATGTCAAAGAACATAAACTCTGTTTAATCATTTTATATACATTGTGATGCAGTTACGTAAAAAATCTTGTTCCTTTTAATTTTTTTAATGCCTTCTTGAAATGCTGCATACATATAGTTCAATTTTGAAATTACATATGTGTATAGTGTATTTCACAGACAGTATGTGTAGCGTGTGATTTCTCCTTGTGTATTTATACAGATTATTTTTACAGGGGTTTTGTTACAGTGTAAACTGTGAACTTGAGCTAAAAGCTAAACTTAACAAGTTTTGTTGTAAAACATAGTATGCTTCCGATGGCCAGTAGGCTTGCTTATTTGTTTTCAGAAGTATCAATTTGTATTTGTTTTACTGGCCAAATGGTTTTGTGTATAAACTATCCTAGGAAGCTCTTGTTGTGTTGGTTGTTGTTAGCCAGTGTTTACAGAGGACTGAGAAAATGTGAAGTGCTACGCGAGTTCAAGTGCTCAGTTACTTCCTACAAACTGGGGGAGGCTGGCAGTTCTTCTTTTCCGCACTCCTCTCAAGACTAGAAAGTAATGTCAAACAATTTCAAGCCAATATTTGGATAGATGGTTTTGGTATTCAGCTTTTTGTTTCTTGAGGAATTCAGGAGAAGTTTTCTGACCGACTGCTAATAAAAAGATGGACACAACATCTTCGGAACTATTCCTTCCTCCCTCTGTGTGTGCGTATTTGTACGTGTTCTGTTTTTTTCTAGGCCAGTACACCTATTGATTGCCTCGGTGTTTAAAAGGATAGAAGGTGCTGGATGTGGGTAGGGACCCTCTTCTAGTGTTGAGAACACCAGATAACTTTTCTTGCATCTTAAATAGTCCAGTGCTTTGGCAAGAAAAGATACACTCCCTTTGCTGCTTCCTAGAGACTGGGAAAGGGTCTTCCTATGTTGTGCAGAGGGTGAACTTCTTGTCCTTTCCACCTCTCACTTGGTTGTTTTTGTTATAATGCCTTATGGATTATACCCCTACCCGTGCTGCTGGATTCTGCTGTTGTGCTGAACAGAGTGACTCGAAGAAGAATCTGAATAGGTTTTGTGACATAATTCTTCCTAGTTTGCCTGTTATTCTGTGGATGGCAGTAGTAATAAATTGTTTTTTTTAAAACCCACAGTTTTGTGGACGTAAGTCTCCGGAGCTGTAGGGAGCCAGAAGAAGTAAAGGACATCAGCTTTTCTTAACTCTGGTTGCTGTAAGCCTTTGTATCAGCCAAGAGCAAGTCCACCCCTTGCCAGTGTGATTCCTCGCCTGTCGCTGAATATCAGTTTGGGATGTCCAATAAGTCCTTCTAAAATATCATACTAAATCGATTCTGACGGTTAAAAATAAGTTTATGGGGGAGGACTGCATGGTACCCAGTTCTGAGTGTTGGCATATTGAATATTCCACCTTGAGGTCAGTAATATGGAACTGGCTCAGGCTGGTAGTGATGGAGAGCTGTGGCTGTCTGCACGCTTTTTGGGTTGTCTTTCTGAAATGAGCAGGTGATCTCCACATGCTGTCTGACAAACAGGTATCCGTACTGTAGGAACCAGTATTGTAGTTGTTGGCCTGAGAGCCTTATGGGCAGATTGAAGAAGCAGTTCAAGAGCAGAATAGGTATGGCATTACTTCTTGATCTTGGGCGTGAAAACTTGGGTGCTGTAATGCTGCTTGTGCCAGTGTTAAACTTGTTATGTGAAATTAATTCAAACTCTTCTGTAAGCACTACTTGCAATTTAAAAGGGTCAGAGTGAAGAGGGAACTACAAATTGAAGGTATAGAAAATATTAAAAAAAAAAACCAAAAAAACAACTAATGTAACATTCCCATTCTGTATTGCGTTGCAGGAGCGTGATCTCTAAACGTCAAACTTTCTCTCATGTAAACCTTACATCAGTGGCAGATTCATACTTTGAGAGAAATGTAGAAGGAGGGGATGGAAATGATGAGGTTATTCTTAGTATTTCTTAAGCCCGTTCTGAACAATGAAGACGCTCAACGAGGGCTGTGGCGTGCAGAGGAAACAGGCGGGGTCATTCTGATGAGAAAAACAGGCTTGGGTGGGGTGAACATCATTAAAGGACCTTAGTTTGCCAAACTAATAGCCTCAGAAAGGTAAGGAGGCCGCCTTGGTGATTTTGTGTAGCTCTCATTGCTTTTTATCAGCCTTCACATTCTTGAAATCCTTATGCAGTTGTCCCTTGTTATAGCAAATTGAATGTGAAAGCTGATAAATATGGCAGGTGATTGATTACCAGGCCGTGGTGTATTTTTTTTTTTAACACAGTGTACTTCAGGAGACAGAAGTTGCTGAATTCCTCCAAACTCAACAGTTCTTCTAAAATAAAAAGTATGCTATCATGATAACAAGAAAGTAAAACACTCTTTGGATTCATTACAGTGCCCAGATTAGGTATTTGTGGCATTATTTTGGGGGTTGGTAAAGGAGACACGTTCTGAAAAATTGCAGTGCATCAGTGAAGCCATACCTTTTTGTGATGTTCTTAGGGTCTTTTAAAGTTACTTTCAGTTGTTACCGGAGAATTAGTAATCTCTTAAAATATTCTACAGCTCCTGGTGGTATGTGTTGCTTGTACTTGGTGTTCTTTGAAACTCGTCATGTTGGATTTTGTTTTCTGAAGTAGTAGAATATACTCTTTTAAAATGTCACTTTTGTCAAAGGAAGGCTAAACAAACTCTTAGCTAAACCTAATGAGCTAATTAATTTCTTCCAAAGCATGTTTGTGATAAACTACTTAACTAGGTAGGCTGAAAGTGTATTGCAGGATGTATGCTGGCTTTTTTCCCTGGACCACAAGTAGTCAGAAATAATTTAAACGTGACTTTATTAATCAGAATATTTTACCTTTTTAGTAAAATATTTTATTGATACAAATCGCAGATTTTTGTTTGTAACTGATACTTTGATATTTCGTGGGTTTGACTAGAAGAGATTTTAATTCAAAGTTAAATTCTACTTTTTGAGGCAATCTAAGCATGCATTTGGAGTATGAATTGCCATTTAAGTAATTTATTCTATACTGTTAGTATATATGCTATCATTGACTTGTAAAATTCAGTGACGTATTTGGTATGCATAACACGACATGTAGGTTCGCTTTTAAAAGCAATCTAGTATAAGGAGATATCTGAAGTCTGCTTGTGGTATTTCTTCTTGCCTGTGTACAGCAGCTCTCTGTACACTCGAATCGTTTTACCCTCTTGGCCTGGGGTGACAGTGATGCTGGGGACCTGGCAGGGCAGGAGCAGGCCAGCCAGCCGAGGAGGAATTGTTTCGAGAGAAATCCTCTGTTCTGTCAGATCTCAGCTTCTTCATTTGTGGGGCTGGACAAATGGTTGAAGTCCTTTATCGCTAGCATTCTTGCTGCTGCTTTTTGAATGGGTACGCTTTCATGGTATCAGCATCTTCCTTGGATGGCTCAAGATCAATTCAGAGGTGAAAGATGGAAAAAAGGTGTGATGTTCAGGCATTCAGTCTTGCGGTGAAGCACCTGAGATTGCTTATCGTGGTGACCCGTTCTGAGAAAACAGTATTTCTCTCCAGCTGGAGAATTTCTCTGTGCTCTGGATGATCACGCGCCAGCCTCTCCAACTTCCATGCCACATAGACCCTCCCTCTGTATTTAAATCGGGTATATTTCTTAAGTCCCTGCAGAGTTTCCTCTCTTAATATATAAATTCTTACAGTAAAAATCACTTTGCTGTCTGTCAAATTGCTAACTGTCACGCTCCTCAGGACGGCAGGATGTGCCTGTGACCCTTTTATTTCCTCCCTTCCCAAGAAAATGTGCTAGATACGGTTCTCGTGGTGCACTGAAAGGTTGCGCTTTGAGGAAGCCATCACGACAGTTATTTCGGGTTGTTCGTGGAAACCCTGAAGTGACGTGGTTTTCGGGCCATATGACCTTTTTTTTTGGTATTTCAGCCGTTCCCTGGGTTTATCACATCTCCCTGTGGTTATCAGCCTCCTGTCTGAGGAGAGCTGCTGCTCTGCACCATCTGGGCTGCTTTGTGGCTCAGAGAAAGGAGGTAGCTCAATAGTGTGGAAGTAGCATCAGTGTAGAGATGTGAGGGTTTCTTCTAGTTTGTGCCTCCCCCCCTGCCCCGAGTTGTTTGATTTTTCTGTGCCTTGGTTTCCATAAACATAAAGTGGGGTTAAACTCTCAGCAATAATAATGAAGGCTACCTGTAAAACTTAAACTGAGAGTGAGTCATGTAGTGATTGTGAAAACCATTAATACAGTACGTATTGGAAAGAGATGATGATAGTGTGTTGGGCTGTTGAGTCATTAAAAAGCTATGTTTAATGTTTTGATTAACTTCCATAGGTTTGGTATGCAGTGGCAAAGGTGAACAACTACTGTGAGCTTTACTTGCTGCTGCTCTGTGAGCTGGTGGGGAATCGCTTAAGCATTTCAGTTTCTGATCAGGGCACATTTAAACCTGAAGCATAGGATAAACAGCAATAGGATAATAATCATACAGGTTTGCCCACCTTTTGTGATTTTTTAGGAGGTTGAGATTGGAATAAAGGCCATCACACAACCTTATACTCAGCCTGGAGAGGCTTAGAGGACAGATCCTGTCAGTAGAGAGATAGATGTTCGCTTGTGTTACTTACTTGGGTCTATCCTGCAAGTCGGTGTAAAGTATGTCATGAATCTTCTTCATCTAATTGTATAACCATACTCCTTCCTCCCTCAGCCGGTTCTCACACCCACCTTTAGTTAGCAGGTTTACTACTTTGGCTAGTCATAAGGGGTTTTTGATGTTCGTGTTAAGTGTTTGGATTTGGAGAGAACATGTGATATTTGTTGTGATTTTAATTGGGATAAATGATCCATTGAGTATCCCTGCCAATATGCTGTTGTATTTA